GGACACAATGTGGCCTTCGACCGGGCGTTCATCAAGGAGCAGTACCTCATCCAGGTGATCCATGGGGCCTGTTACTTCCTGCCAGCAGCTGTGGTTCCTTAAGGGGATGATGGTTTATGTTGGCTTTGCGGGGTTATTTTTACAGGTGCTGTTCTGTACAGATAACCCAGGGTTGTGCTTTCCCTGTCCTGCAGAACAGGTTGAGGTTTGATCCAATTAGAGGAAGCTGTCCTTGCACCCTGTAAGGTCTGCAGGGCTGCAGCTGGGGACATGCAGGAGGAGCCTTTGGGCAGCTGACAGGGATGCTGTCAGCTGGGGGTGCCCTTGGCTCTCAGAGCTGGGAGGCAGCGTTTTGCCTTGATAAAAGCAGCCTGAGCAGAGGGCTTGCAGCTCTGTAACACAGGGCAGTGCCTGCTGGCAGCTGCAGGATCCTTGGCAGCACATTTCTCCTCCAGCAAATGCTAAACCATCTCTTCCCCCCCCCCCCCCCCGGCCTGTCCCAGGGCTCCAAGGTGCGTTTCCTGGACACCATGAGCATGCACATGGCCATCTCGGGGCTGACGGGCTTCCAGCGCAGCCTCTGGATGGCTGCCAAGCAGGGCAAGAGGAAGGGACTGCAGCAGGTCAAGGAGCACATGAAGAAGACACGCACCAAAACAGAGGGGCCGGCTGTGAGTAAGGGAGCTGAGCTGCTGGATGTGGCCTGGGTGGCAGGGAACCATTTGATCCTGTCATGGGTTCATGTGATCCTGTAATGGGACTGTTTGCTCCCGTACTGGGATCATGTGCTGCAGTACTGGCACAGTGGAGCAGCTCTGCTCGGTGAAGCACCTTCCAGCAGAGGTGGTCTGGGTTTAGAATGGAGCAGCAGCATCCTTTACCTTTCTGCCTGGTCTTGGGCAGAGCTGGTCCTTGTCCTGCACCATCTGACCCCCTCGTTGTCCCCAGATCACCTCATGGGACTGGGTGCACGTCAGCAGCATCAACAACCTGGCCGACGTGCACGCGCTGTACGTCGGGGGCGAGCCCCTGGAGAAGGAGGCGCGGGAGCTCTTTGTGAAGGGCACCATGGCTGACATCAGGAGTCACTTCCAGGTGCGGGCGGCCATCCCAGCCTCCCGACGGGCAGTGGGAGCCAGAGGTGGGAGGAGGGTGGGAACAACTGCTGGGGTAGTTTCCATTTTGCTGCCCTTCCATGCGAGGGCTTTGTGCGTGGGGCTGTGACGTCCCCATCCTCCCGCAGCCCGGGTGCCTTGCCCCGTGCTGGCAGAGGGGTGGCTGCTTTGCCTGCTCTCACCTGCCCCTGCCCCCAGGACCTGATGTCATACTGTGCCCGTGATGTCCAGGCCACCCATGAGGTGTTCCAGGAACAGCTGCCACTCTTCATGGAGAGGTGAGAGCTGCTGAGCTGCAGCCAGTGCTGGCTGAGGGGCTGTGGGCTTGGTCTGGCAGCAGGAAGGATCCTGGTCTCTCTAGGGATGGGATGTGACTCCTTTTGTCCTTGGGGTGGTGGTGGGAGGTTTGAGGGGGCCCACAAACCCCATTTCAGGAGGGTCCTCAGGCCCTTCTCTGCAGGTGGGAGGGAATAAATGACAGCACAGTGTGGGTGGAGGAGACGAGCAGACTTAATGAGGCAGATCAGAGTGACATAGCTTTGGGGTTGGTGCAGGGGGTTGTTTTTAGGGCAGCAATTTATGAGCAGGGCTGGCAGAAGACACGGGGATCCTTACGGGTTTAGAAGAAGAGTGTTCAGTGTTATGTGGGGCTGGGAAACTAAGTGAAGACGCATTCATGTCTGTTGTAGTCTGGTGCTTCCAGGGCAAACCCTCTGTAGCAGATACCTGATTTCACACTGCTTTGGGCTCTAGGTGCCCCCACCCTGTGACGTTTGCAGGGATGCTGGAGATGGGAGTGTCCTACCTGCCAGTCAATGGGAACTGGAAGAGATACCTGGATGATGCTCAGGACATCTATGAGGAGCTGCAGAAGGAGATGAAGAAGTCCCTAATGAACCTGGCGAATGATGCCTGCCAGCTGCTGCACGAGGACAGGTACCTGTGAGCTTGCAGGACAGAGACTAGACCATTGGGTGGTTCATGGTGGACTGTGGGTTGGTACTGGGGACAGGAACAAAGCTGTGGTGTGACAACAGTGTGTTGGCAGGTACAAGGATGACCCCTGGCTGTGGGACCTTGAGTGGGATACGCAGGAGTTTAAGCAGAAGAAGAATCCACGGAAGAAGAAGAAGGATCAGGATGGGAACAGCAAAGTCTCTGCAGTGGTGGCAGGCACTGATGAGTCCATGCAGGAGTGGCAGGAAGGTGAGAGTGGGTGGTTCCTGGGGACGAGGGATGCCTGAGGAACACCTTCCCATGAGCACCCAGTGAAGGGATGTGGGTCCTTGGTACTGGCAGGGTGAAGCTTTGCTGGCCTGTGTCCTTGTGCTGAGGCATGTGGTGGGGGGTCGTTTGAGCTCCCTGTCCCTGGTGTGGTGGCAAGGAGAGGGGTCTTTGCCAGCCAGTCCTCCTTGCCCCACCAGACCTTGGTCCCCCCAGTGAGGAGGAGGAGCTGAAAGCCCCTGCGAGCCAGGTCTGCTTGGAGCGTCTGAAGGAGACGGTCACGCTGCAACCCAAGAGACTCCAGCACCTGCCGGGCCACCCAGGGTGAGTTGGGGACTCTGGGTGTCCCCAGGGGTTACCCAGGCCTCTCTGACTCATCCCTGCTCTCCCCAGCTGGTACCGCAAGCTGTGCCCACGCCTGGATGACGTGGGGTGGGTGCCAGGACCCAGCCTCATCAGCCTGCAGATGAGGGTGACCCCGAAGCTGATGCGCCTGGCCTGGGATGGCTTCCCCCTCCATTACTCAGATAAGCATGGCTGGGGCTACCTGGTGCCGGGGAGGCAGGACAATTTGCTGGCAGCCCCTTCAGAGGCAGAGGGCCCTTCCTGCCCACACAGGTGAGGGGGACCTAGCAGGGTGCTGAGCTGCCCCATGATAGGGTTTGGGAGCTCCCTGGGACCCTGCCCAGGTGCTGCCCAGGAGCCTCAGTCCCTTTTGTGGGTGTGTGAGCCCTGCCCTCTCCCTGCCAGGGTGATCGAGTACCTGTACAGACAGCACTGCCTGGAGAAGGGCAAGGAGCAGCCAGCGGGGCTGGAGGCTGCCGTGGAGGACGAGCTGCTGGCGATGGACAGCAGCACCATGTGGCAGGAGGTGAAGGAGGGGTTGGAGGGTCCCCCGGTGGGAGGGAGATACAGGACTGGGCTTCCTCTTGTGTGCCTGTGAAAACCAGCCCGACAGGTGGCTCTGAGGGCTGGGAGTCAGAAATTCTCTCTAAGAAGTGTTTAAATCACTGGAGAAGTGGTGTTTGAACCTGTTTCCCCCGTGGTCCTCTGCTGTAGGTGGAAGAGCTGAGCCAGCTGGAGGTGGATGTGGAGGAGAAAATGGGTAGAACAGACCAGGGTCTGGAGCAGGTGAAAGGGGTTTTCTGTGGGATGGGGTGGTGGATCAGTCCCTGTTTCCTTGATTTCTCCCTCCTTCTCTGCCAGAAGGGTTCCTGGCATCACCTTGCATCTCTGGTTGCAGGAGGAGTTGGATGGGCAGTTTGAACCGGTGCAGGATGCAAAGAGCCAGCCCTCGTACCACCACGGGAATGGTCCCTACAATGATGTCAATGTCCCTGGGTGCTGGTTCTTCAAGCTGCCTCACAAGGCAAGTTGGCTGCTCCTGGAGGCTTCCCAGCTACTCCGGGTCCCAGCTCTCCTCATCCTGCTGCACAGGATGCTGCTCATGGAGTGACATTCTCCATGTCACTTTGCCTGTCACCCTGGTGTTGCAGCATTCCTGGGATCCCTGTGATCTTGTCCCATGGGATAGGGTGGTAGAAAGGCATCTCTAGCTGGGTCAGGAGGATGCACAGAGTTGTACTGATGTTGAGCAGTGGGATGCTGAGCCCTGCCACCTTTTGTTGCTAAAGGATGGGAATGAAAACAACGTGGGAAGCCCTTTTGCCAAGGATTTCCTGCCTCGGATGGAGGATGGCACCCTGCGAGCTGCCGTGGGCCGCACCCACGGGACCAGAGCCCTTGAGATTAACAAAATGATCTCATTTTGGAGGAATGCTCACAAGAGGATCAGGTGAGTGGCCACCTCCAGTGGGATCATGACATCCCTGTGGGTGGAAGCTGCCTCAGCATCTCACCTGCTGTGTGTCCCCCCAGTTCCCAGATGGTGGTGTGGCTGAAGAAGGGGGAGCTGCCTCGCGTGGTCACCAGGTATGGGGAGGAGCGGCCACAGCCGGGGCCAGGATCCCATGTAGGCTGCTCCAGGAGGGCTCTGGCAGGATTGTGCTCACCCTCCCCTGTGTCCCAGGCACCCCGACTATAACGAGGAGGACAGTTATGGAGCCATCCTGCCGCAGGTGGTGACCGCGGGCACCATCACCCGCCGGGCGGTGGAGCCCACGTGGCTGACGGCCAGCAATGCCCGGGTACGGCCACACTCGGGTCTCTGTGGGGCTGTTTTGGGGCACCCTCTGTGTTTTGGACTGGTGGGAGCTGCTTGTGTTGGAAAGAGGTGTTGGGGCTGGATGCTGGGGTTTGAGGTGGGGGGGCTGGTGCTGGGGTTTGAGGTGGCAGGGGTGGTCCTGGGGCCCTTCCCTTGCATAAGTGCTTTGATTTTGGGAGAGGGGAAGGAGTCAGCAGAGGCTCCTGAGCTTCAAAATTTGGTGAAAGGAGAAGAAAACATGGAAGCATCAGTTTCTGCCCTTCCCCAAGCTCCCCTTCCTCTGCTGGAGAGGAGCCTGTGGGGAATAACCAAGTGATCCAGGCCTCACACGTGCATTAAACCCAGGTTTGACTGCCAGAGTGGGGTTAGGGGTGTTGGGAGCGCTGCGGGAGGAAGGCTGCTCCTCTGAGGAGGAGATGGAGGTGCAGGGCTGGCACCGAGCCGGGTGTTGTGTCCCGCAGGCTGACCGGGTGGGCAGTGAGCTGAAAGCCATGGTCCAGGTGCCACCTGGCTACTCCCTGGTGGGCGCAGACGTGGATTCCCAGGAGCTCTGGATAGCTGCTGTCCTGGGCGAGGCGCACTTTGCCGGCATGCACGGTGAGCCGGGGCTGCGCCGCGGGGAGCGGCTCCCGCGGGGGGGCAGGGGGGCACCCCCCCCA